TGAGAAGCTATGAAGTACTCTCCTATGTTTCAAGCAATAAAGTAGTTTGTTAAAAAAAAAAAAAACAACTTGCTAATATTTGTGATCTTTCTCCCAATTATGGCCTAAATATATACTGGTAACCAGAAAGATAAACTACTACATATTTTGAAGCTATTTCAATGCAATAAATAGATGTTAGGGGACTGGTCATAGATGACACATTTTTAAATTTTAGATTTTTTTAAACACCAAAGAAAAAAGAAGTGACTTTCACCCTGTAACATGAAATTTTATAACTTATCTCCTCTACTTGTTTTAATTTCGAAGCCTTTCCCTGCTTAAACTTACTTAAGTACTTAAAATTTTAATTTGGTAGAATTTCAGAGGATTTCACTTATCAGAAAACCTTGTCTTGGATGCTATTTTCTAACCTGGACAAACTCAAATTTTCTATTGCTGAATTGATTGCTTTATTAAAAAAAGCTAAATGAGGTTGGTTAATTATTTTTTCTTCAGTCAATGGGACTAAAGCATGCCTCTCTTAGAACAAGACATAGCAGCTGGCGCTGTGGCACAGTGGGTTAATGCCTTGGCCTGAAGCACCAGCATCCCATGTAGGCCCTGGTTTGAGACCGGCTGCTTGACTTCTGATCCAGCTCTCTACTATGGCCTGGGAAAGCAGTAGAAGATGGCCCAAGTCCTTGGGCCTCTGCACCAGCGTGGAAGACCTGGAAGAAGCTCCTGACTCCAGATCAGCGCAGCTCGGGCCGTTGTGGCAAATTGAGGAGTGAACCATCGGATAAAGACCTCCCCCCTGCCCCTGCTCCCCTCTCCTCTGTGTAACTGACTTTCAAATAAATCTTTAAAAAGAAGAAGAAAGAAGAAAAAGGAAGAAGAAGATATAAATACTAAGGCAGAGTTTGTTAGCAAAGCCTCTCATAAAATTGACAACTAGAATCCTTTCTTATCTGGTGAGCATGATTTGCTTCTGACAATTAATATGATAACACCAGTTATATCAACATCTCATAAAAAGGCTTGCTGGCCTATTTTCTATGATCCTCATATCACACTTATTTTTCTTTTCTTTTTTGACTACCCACTAGAATGTAGAATAGGTGGCCATCAAATATTTTTCATCAAGCCTGAAATTCAGCAAGCAATTAAAATGCTTTAAAAATCAGCTAATTAGAGGTAGAGCAGAGAGAAATGGTTAAGGGGACAAAGGAATCTTTATTTATTTAACTGTATGAGTATCTAACACTCATATTCTCAGTTTCCTCTGCCATATGTTAGAGTAAGTTTTACAGTTGTTATGAAAATTATCAAAAATATTTCACGTGAGCCGGCGCCGTGGCTCAATAGGCTAATCCTCCACCTAGCGGCGCCGGCACACCGGGTTCTAGTCCCGGTTGGGGCGCCGGATTCTGTCCCGGTTGCCCCTCTTCCAGGCCAGCTCTCTGCTATGGCCAGGGAGTGCAGTGGAGGATGGCCCAGGTGCTTGGGCCCTGCACCCCATGGGAGACCAGGAAAAGCACCTGGCTCCTGGCTCCTGCCAGGATCAGCGCGGTGCGCCGGCTGCAGCGGCGGCCATTGGAGGGTGAACCAACGGCAAAGGAAGACCTTTCTCTCTGTCTCTCTCTCTCACTGTCCACTCTGCCTGTCAAAAAAAAAAAAAAAAAAATATTTCACGTAAAACTTTGAACACAGATGTGTATAATCTAAGTGTTCAACAAATGTTAGCTATGATTATCATTACCTTTATTTTCAAAACTATGAACAATGGTAATCTACTCAATACAATATTGATATACTGATTTCCAGAATTATCAATCTTGAACACCAGAATAAAAGGTTTTTAACCTAACCCTAAAAGCAAACAAAAATTCTTAAGTATTTCTGTATGTTTTAGATCTACCAGATAATCTTAACACCAACTATTCAAAGCTGAGTTTATAAAGGAAATTATCTCTTGCTACTGCTGCATCTGGAAACTGGCAAGAGACAAATTAACATCGCCACTAAGATATTTTCACTATTACTTTTTAAAAGCCACTGTCAAAGAAACAGATTATACATGCATGAATATATATGAGAATATTTCCAAATGCTATAAGAAGAAACTTCATATCCTCCAGAGGAAGTCAGGTTCTAACAAACTCCAATATTTAAAGTGTTCATAAGTAGCTTTACTAAGATTAGAACTAAGTGGGGATAAGAAAAAATGTATCCACAGGGGATTATAATCTGTAAAATAGCAGGTGCTGAGAATAAAGCTGGCGCTAAGCAAAAAAATCTAAGGACCTAACACCTTGGTAAAGATTGTATTTTCTTTAAAAAAAAAAAACAACATTACCACTTTTTATCCGCAGGAAAGTTTAGAGTATGCAACATGCTGTTTATACAGTATTCTCATTTGTTCCATCTCACTCTAAATTATGTAGGGAAATTATTTTTGTATATTAAGGCAAGGTTTTGAAAGTTAATCTGTTAAAAAAAAAAAAAAGACACTGTCAGGCAGTAACAAATCAAGAATTTAAATCCTTGCCTTCTTTCTTACACTGCAACGTTCTTTCTCCTACACCATAAATCTACTTCTAAAGAAAGAGGCAAATTAGTTTCTTCACAGAAAGAAACCCCTAGGCCAAACCACAGACTGTTTTAACTGCAGAAAAGTTAGATGTTAAGTCATTTCACCTTAGCAGGCCTTTATTTTCTAATCCATAAAATGAGGAAAACTGATTAGAAAATGTGAAATCCCAACTTTACAGATACACTTCTAAGACTTTTACAGAGCACAGGTGTTTCACAAAAACATGTTGTTAGCAACAAATTCCAAGTCAGAAAGCAGCATCAATAGTTCTTAAGAAACCGATTAAAATTATTATAGTCTTCATACCTACGGCTAGGCGTTACTCCAATATCATTAAGTTTACACACAGAAATCCATCTAAACCTCTTATGGACTATGATTGAAAATGACTAATCCCAGTAACCACTGTCTTTTTAAACTAAAAAAAATGCTGTTACAACTGAAGAACAGTTTAAAGACAACGTAACTACTGGTCAGCTAACAACAAAAACTGAAAAAATATTTACTCTTCATTTATTCTCATACTTTTTAGAAAAGTCTCTTCCAGTGATGTAGTTTTCAAATATCTCAACTGACAACCATGTCTCCAATCTATGTCAGAAGACTATCGTTATTTTTTTCAACAACTTCTTCAGGGAAAGAAAAATATCATCAGCATCTTGATTTTAAAAATCTCCCTTTCAAATTCATTCCACTGGTTGGACACTTGTCTCCAAATAAAATTCAAGTTTTTCTTGGCTATTAAGGGATCGACACTAGAGTCTGCACAATGTATTTTCAGCTACTGTGTTTTCCTCATCTGAATATTTATCTTTATTCCTCCTCAAATATTCTTCATAAAAGTACACACGCAGAGCGTTCCACTTTTCCAGCTCTGCTCAGTTCATAGAACAATTCTAATCATTACTAATTCTTAGCAACAGCTATGTAAACTATAAAAACAATATTAAATGCATCTTACTTTTTACTCTAGTTTTCTTCCAAAAAATACGCTTATCATTCAAGTATTCCTTCACACACTGTCTCTAAAATCCTCCTAGAACACACATCTTCACATGCTAAGCTTCACCTCGGGCACCTTGCAGAGTTTCAGAAATTTAGTTGGCATTAAAGTCTTTTCAACAAAGTCAGCGAACACAACAACTTCATCTTAGTCTACTCTCCCTCATTTTGCTTTTTAGCCACTTGGCACCGACACAGCATATGTTCTGCCAGTTCTGAGCTAATCTCCAGGAAAACCTTTGTATAATGACTGAAGAAACTGAAACAGATCACTGACCGAGATTTCAACGGCCTACTTGAGCATATGTTTTCAATAAAGCTAACTTATTTTAATTCGCCTTTAAATGTACATAGCCCATGGTCAAATAGAGAGAGAGATGACTGAGAAGGCAGGTTCACGTCAATCTCAGGATTAAAGATAATTCCACGCGTTACAGATCACCGGACCTCCAAGACGTCGCACCCGAGTTCGCAGTGCAGCCGCGGGCGTCCAATGGAAATCACATTCCCGGTGACCGCACTGCTTTAAATGTTTCCTATGCTGTCAACCAGCGCAATACGGTTAACTTCCCATCCTAGTTTCTCACTGTTATTACGAAAATAGCTGTCAGCTGGGCTTCCGTAACCTTTTTGTACAACCGATTATTCAACGCTTTGGGATCCTCGAGGCTGCGTCATCCCACATTACTCCTGACAGCGAGCTCCAGGAGCCTGGCGTGCACCCCGGGGCTCTGCACATCATTCGAACGGGCACTTGCACAACGACGAGCACAGCCGACGATTGCCCAATGCGGCACGGATAGATTACACTGGCATTTAAGACAGCACTGCGGCGCGGCCGCTCTCCCCTCTCCCGACACTACCAGGGCAGCAATTTCCCCTTCTCGCTCGCCGCCGTCTCTCCCGGGACCCGGGGTACCGCCGACGCTCCCCGCCCCGGCCAAGCTTCCCGCGTCCGCATCCGCGGCCGGCGCCGGGAACGCGCGGCAGACCGGGCGCGCCCCCGCCCCGCCCCCGGCCCCCGCCCCGGCTCCTGCCCTCGCCGGTCCGGCCGCGGCACCCCGGCGGCGCCCTCTCGGGCAGCGCACACTGGCACGCACACGCTCCGCGGCCCCGCCATGTTCCGGGAGCGGCGGCGACGGGCGCCCGCGCCGCGGCCACCACCCCGCCCGCGCTCGAGCCCTCGGCCCGGCCCCGCCCCGCGCGGCGCCCCCGCCCAGCTGGCGGCTCCCACCTGCGCCGCGGCGCCTCAGGACGCCCGAGGGGCGGCGGCGGCGGGCGGGGCCCTGGCGGGCACGGCCAAGCCGCGCCGGGGGCCACTAACGGCCTGTCACTGTCAGGCCGGCGGAGCGCCGGGCCGCGCCGGGCCTGGCCGGGCGGCGCGTGGCGGGACCGGCCGCGGAGGGCAGGGCGCGCCCCCTACCTTGCTCTGCGGAGGGGAACGGGAGCAGCGCAGTACTGAGGGGTCTCCGTCCAGGCGCCGGGGACGGGCTCGAAACCGCGCCCCTCCTTCCTCCTCTTCTGTCGCCACGCCCCCCTCGCCCGCACGGACCCGAGGCGCGGCGGGCGCAGGAGGGTTTACCCCCTGAGTGAGTGCCTCGGCGTGGCCGTCGTTGTCGTTGTCTTCGTCGCCGCTGCAACCGCTACTAACGCCGCCAGCGCCAGGCTTGAAAACATCTCCGGTCTCGGTCCGTCTCTCACCACAGCCTCCTCGCTCCCAGGACAGCGCCGCCCGGCGATTGGCTGCCGCGCGGGCACGTGACCGCCGCGGGCACGTGACTCCCGCGGGCACGGGACGGGCGGCGTGACCGCCCCGCCCCCGGTGCCCTCCCCTCTCGCCGCGCTCGGGAGCAGCGTCTCGAGCCGCGGGGCGGGGGAGGTGGCACGTACCAAGCGGGCGGCGGCGGGGGTGCGGGCCGGAACTGCTCCCTTCGCGTCGGTCCGCCTCCCGCGCGCCGTTCCCGGCGTGAGGAGGGAGGGGGAATCAAAGGCTGGACTGGGAAGCGGCGCAGGCGGCGCTGATGCTGCCGCGCGAGCAGCGGGCGCTGGCGTCCGTCGCTCTTCACGGCGACCGTGGCGGTGACGGGGGCTGGAAACTTCTGGAAATGGCGTCAGCGATGAAGACACTTAGGGTATTGGTGGGTGATCTTTGCAGGGAGTGGGTGGACGAGTTTCTGAAGTCTGCGGCTGGCGACGGAGCTCGGCGCCGCAGGCTGAGGTGTTGGGAGGGCCCCTGGGCGCTCGCGCTGGCTGCCGGAGGGGCTCTGCACGGAAGCCTCTCTCTCCTGCGCCTGGCTGTGCCCCACCACTCGTTCGGCAAGCACAGTAGCGTGCACCTGCCGTGGTGACCACAGAATGGAGCGTACGCCCCCTCGCCGCCACACCTTCCAGTAACCTTTTAAAAGCATTCTTTCACATTCGGTATTGAGCATCTCAATGGGAACCGCCCAGGTACTGGGAAGTGCGTAAGGCATATTTACCCTCTCAGCGTAGTAGCAACGTATACTCTTAACTTCCGGATGCTTTTTATTTACACAGGTTAATCTGCAATAATTTGTACATGCCTTAATTTAACCACTGAAGTAGTTAAACATACTCGGCAGGAAACCGTCTTCATCTTCTGGGGTAATTGTGGCCTCTAAACTTAAGCAGCATCCCTTTGTGCCTTAATTCGCAGTTACAGATTTCCTTTATGTATTACGAGGATTGCGACGTGAGACAGCAGATGTGACAGACCTGACAGAGAATGCCAAATCCCAACAGATCTATAAAACATAAGCCGCCTGCTTTAAAGACCACGTTTCCCCCACTCCGCCCTTCTTCGTTCCTGATTTCTCCCACCTAGAGAACATTAGGTTTCGTGTGAACAGTGAGCCATGTCTTTGGTGCAAGGGTTAATACACGCTTTGGAACGCCCAAGGCCCACATCCTGTAGCACCCTGACACCTCCAACTTCCTGTTAATGCGCACTCCGCGGGAGCAGCAGATGATGGTTCAAGTACTGGGATTGCGCCCAAGGTGGGGAGGCCCTCACCAAGTTCTTCCTGACTTTGGACCAGTCTCTCTCTGACTGTTGCAAGCATTTGGGGAATAAACTAACAGATGGAAGATCTTTCTCCCTCTGCCTTACAAAAAATAAATGAAAAACGGACCAATGGGGTCAGCCTTATGGAGCAGCAGGTTGAGCTTCTTCCCGGTTTAAGTCCTGGCTATTTGGACCAAGCTCCCTGTAAATGCATCTGGAAAAGCAGTGGGAGATGGACCAAGTACCTGGGCCTCTGGACCCAAATGGAATTCAGGACTCCTGGCTTTGGCCCAGCCCAGGGCTGGTCCTTGTGGCCATCTGGGGAGTGAGCCAGCACATGTAGATTTCTTTTCCTGTAACTCTGCCTTGCAAAGACAAGACCCTGTTGGCTAGAAGTACAATAGTGTTATATATAATTTGGATATTTATGGTATGAAATACAAAGGAAAGGGGGCTAGCATTATGGCATAGCAGGTTAAGTCGCTGCCTGCATCCCAGATGAATGCAAGTTCCGGTCCCAGTGCAGAAAATGACCCAAGTACTGGGCTTCTGCATCAATGTAAGGGACTCGGAGGCAGCTCCTAGGTTAGGCCTGGTCCAGCTCTGGCCATTGCAACCATTTGGGGAGTGAAATAGAGGATGGATTTATAAGTTTATCCCTCTCCATATGTAACTCTGCCTTTTAAATAAAATAAAGGAAAATATAAAGGAAATAAAACTGCTTGTGAAAGGTCAAGAGTGCTCTAAAATAGAAGAAACATTTTTATTATAATGTTTGAAAAATTAGTTTACCTTCTCAAATTAAAAAAAAAAACCCTAATCTTTGAGGACATACTTAAAAATGATCATAATGTTTTTAGGCATAATTACCAATGCATAGTCTGTCTCAACAGCAAGGTCAAATACTGACCAAGAAAGCCTGAAGCATTTGATTAGATTTACCTACTAGAAAGGCTTTTTTCTCCCAATTTGCAAAACTAATGTATTAGAGGTAACTTCTTAATTGGATGTGATATAGAAAAACTTTATTCCTTCTTGCAGGTTGTAATATTTCGCGTGTCCACTGATTTTTTCAACTCATGCTGTACTTTCAATTTCATTCCTCAATTGTTTGTATACTTGGGAGTATCAGCATAGCCAAGGATACTGTCAAAAGTATTTTCTGCTACCTTTTTATTTTTAAGATTTTGAGAGGTAAGAGTCACAGAGAGATGAAGAGACAGAAAGGTCTTCCATCCACTGATTAACTCCCCAAATAAGCACAAGGGTTGAAACTAGGCCGATCTGAAGCCAGGAGCCTGGAGCTTCTTCTGGGTCCTCCAGGCGGGTACAAGGGCCCAAGTATTTGGGCTATGGATCAGAAGACGAGCAGCCAGGACTCAAACTGGCACCCATATGAAATGCCAGCACTACAGGCAGAAGCTTAGCCTACTACACCACAGTGCTGGCCCCCTTAAGTTTTTTTTAAAAATAACACTCTAGAGACTAACACATTATCATCCTTATATTCTTTTTTTTTATTTATTTAATGAATGCATTTTTGCATAGATGCAACTTTAGGAATGCAGTGGTTCTTTCCCCCATACCTCCCATCCTTATATTCTATAGTGTGGTTTAAATATCACTACTTGGAGGGGCCAGCGCTGTGGCACAGCAGGTTAACGCCCTGGCCTGAAGCGCCAGCATCCCATATGGGTGCTAGTTTGAGACCTGGCCACTCCACTTCCAATCCAGCTCTCTGCTATGGCTTGGGAAAGCAGTAGAAGATGGCCCAAGCCCTTGGGCCCCTGCACCCACGTGGGAGACCCAGAAGCTCCTGGCTCCGGATTGGTGCAGCTCCAGCTGTTGCGGTCAATTGGGGAGTGAACCAGCAGATGGAAGACCTCTCTCTCTGCCTATCCTCCTCTGTGTAACTGTGACTTTCAAATAAATAAATAAATATTTTTTTTAAAAAGTGTCACGATTGGAAAGATATTTAAAAATTTATAAATATTAATGTTTAAACAGAATAGTGACATAAAGTAAATAGAAAGATAATGGTAACTTAAAACTTAGCTGCAACATGGGGTGGGTGTTGTGGGGCAGTGAGTTAAGTCCTTCCTTGGGATGGGTACATCCCATATTGAAGTCCTGGCTACTCTGCACCTGAGATCCAGCTTCCTGATAATAGTCCCAGGAGGCAGCAGATGATGGCCCAAGCAAATTCTTAGGTCCCAGCCACTCATGTAGGACATGTGGATGGAATTCCTGGCTCCTGGCTTGGGCCTGGACCAGCCCCTACTCTTTTCTTTTTATTATTTATTTATTTATTTTGACAGGCAGAGTGGACAGTGAGAGAGACAGACAGAGAGAAAGGTCTTCCTTTGCCGTTGGTTCACCCTCCAATGGCCGCCGCGGCTAGCGTGCTGCGGCCGGCGCACCGCGCTGATCCAAAGGCAGGAGCCAGGTGCTTCTCCTGGTCTCCCATGGGGTGCAGGGCCCAAGCACTTGGGCCATCCTCCATGGCACTCCCTGGCCACAGCAGAGAGCTGGCCTGGAAGAGGGGCAACTGGGACAGAATCCTGCACCCTGACCGGGACTAGAACCCTGTGTGCCGGCGCCGCAAGGCGGAAGATTAGCCTACTGAGCTGCGGCGCTGGCTCAGCCCCAACTCTTACAGGCATTTGGGCAGCCCATAAGCAGATGGATGATGTCTCTTGCTGTCACTTTACCTTTCGAATAAATAAACATTCAAACTTGGCTGTGCTAAAGAAAAAACTCAGTTGAAATTTGACAGAATTTTTACCACACTTTTGGCCTGGCAGCCAAAAATGAGTGGCATTTGAGTAACTGTTAACCTATATAGTAATGTCTTCATAGTTAGCCACTAATAGCAGAACGCTTTAAAAAGGTCTGTGCTGTTCTGACATATTTATAGCTGCAGATTGCTAGGTGACCTACTACTAAGATGTACACAGAGTAGAACGGACAAATAATGCAAAAAGTTTATATACACAGCAGGTTCATATTTATTTGTCCAGTGACATATTTACAGCTAATATAAATTAAAGGCCTGCTTGCACACCAAAGCCAGGTCCTTTGGGTGGTTCAGTCAAAGAGGTAAGACCTCCAGCTGGCTCACAAGAGAAGCGTCCACTCCTAAAAAAAAAAAAAAGCAAACAACATTAAATTGACTAATATTAACTAACATTTGTAACTTTTTACTTACAAAAATAACTGTTACCTCACAACAGCCTAGTTAACTATAATTAGCATGGGTTATTTACTTAATTATTTCAACTGCTGCAAGATTTTATCTAAAGGTAAACATGAAAATACATAAAAGCTCACCATAAATATAAAATGTATAAAATAGCACTAATAATACTATCCATTGATTGAGCACTATACAAACATTAGCTCCCCTAATCCTGACAGCAATGCCATGAGACAACTTGATAATGACTTTACAGACACAGAAACCTAACTGCCCAAAGATCAGAGCTAGAGAACTATGGCAAAAATAACCCAACCCTAGAGGAAATTTTAAAAACTGTTTTAAGGGGCCAGCACTGTGGGGCAGTAGGTTAAGCATCTGCCTGTGGTGTCAGCATCCCATATGGGCGCCTGTTCGAGTCCTGCCTGCTCCACTTCTGATCCAGTTCTCTGTTATAGCCTGGGAAGGCAGTGGAAAAAGGCCCAAAACTGCTTGGGCCCTTACACCGATATGGGAGACCTGGATGGAGCTCCTGGCTCCTGTATTCGGATTGGTCTAGCTACAGCCGTTGCAGCCATTTGGGGAGTGAACTAGCAGATGGAACACCTCTGTCTCTCCCTCTCTCTGTAACTCTGCCTCTGAAGTAAATAAATAAATCTTTAAAAAAAAAAAAAGTGTTTTAAGAAACTAAAGCCTAACATTTTTTACACTTGGATTTTGTTTAGATTGAGATATACTGTCAGGATGAATATAAGGGATACACACACTTCCACGCTGCATTTAGAAATTGAAATTGGGTTCCTTGAGAAATATAAAGAATTGGAAAGATAGCTCTTAGAAACAGTTTTTGGAAAAAAATAGTTTCCAGGTCAGATGAACACTGCAGCCACAAAGAGAAGCAAACAAGAACAGATCCTGATGGAGCAACCTCTGGAGAGAGACAGTGCAGAGGTAGAAGAACCTGTCTGTCTCTTTTCACCCCACACGTACTTTCCCATGTATTGCTCACCTCAGCCCTGTCTGACCTCTTGCTGAAACCCAGCTCAGCACCTACTCCATGTAATTGCACTCCTACCCCTATTCCCTGGTTTGACTAATTTACCTTGTTTCCACCACAGCTTTTAGCTGAGGAACTTGTTTAATTTACATTTTTCAACCCCTCTGGCTTTGCCCTTCATATCTGTCATCAATCTTGTAACTCTGTTCTTTAGCCCTAGGAAATAATTTTTTGGCGCGGGAACAACCAAATGATAGCACATCATCATTTATAAGATCTTTCAAGCTATCACAGGACGTAATACAAAGAACTAAGTAATGGACCAAACATGCTTACAAAGTCAGAAATTAGTTAACATTCACTACAAAAAAGCAAAAGCCAGCGTGTGGTACAGCAGGTTAAAGTGACTGCCTGGGATGCTGGCTTCACCTATGGGTACCAGTTCAAACCCTGGCTGCTCCACTTCTGATCCAGCTCCTGGCTCATATGCCTGGGAGGACAGCGGAGGTTGGCCCAAGTGCTTGGGCCCCTGCCACCCACATGGGAGATCCTGAGGAGGCTCCTGGCTTCTCCCTTGGGACCAGTCCAGCTCTGGCTACTGCAGCCAATTTGGGGAAGTGAACCAGTGGATGGAAGATCTCTGTCTCCCCTTCTCTTTTTCTGTAAATTCTGCCTTTCAAATAAATAAATCTTTTTTTAAAAAAAGTTGAAAACCATGTTAAAAAGAAGAAGAAAAAGCAGTTACTGTGTACTATCAGACTAAAAACTAGGGTAAGTGGCAAAATGATACTTTAAAAACCCAGTATTTGGCCTTAACTACTACTAAGTATATCTGATGCTCTAAATGTTGATGAGATTAGTTTACCTTGGAAGACTTTCATCACCTTTACTAGGTTCTCTTTTGTGGTTTAAGCTCAGCTACCCACCCCACATCAAATTCCTTCTGTGCTTAATCCTTTTGATTGAATGTCAGAATGGAATGTGACTTAGTGGTTCATTTTAGAAGTCTCATGAGAAGCTGGCTGCTAATGCACCTGGGAGAGCTGTGGAAGATGGCCCAAGTTTCCGGGCTCCTGTACACATATAGGAAGGAAGGAAGCTCCTGATGCCTGGCTTTGGCCTGGCTCAGCCCCTGCCATTGCAGCCACTTGGGGAGTGAACCAGTGGATGGAAGACCCCTGTCTCTCTCTTGCTCTCTCTCCCTCTTTCTCTGTATCTCTGCCTTTCAAATAAAATAAATATATCTTAAAAAAACAAAGTCTCATGAAAGTTGAGCATTCAGTATTTAAAGCCTCATCAGTGTGGATATGGGTCTTTTTAAATTAACAAGTTTCTTAATATTAGTATCTTTACCAACAAAAAGCATCAATTTAGAAGTAAAACCTGAAGTTTCTCTAATAATAAATGCAAGAATGACTCATGTAATTTTTGAGCTCTTCACAAGATTATGGAATCCTACAAGGGTACTTTGAGAAGTTGATGGAAAATGCACATTTAGTTCCATTTTAGAAAAACTTCTTGAGGTACCTGTGTGTGAAAATAATTTTAATAATAATCTGGTCCAGAATCTCCTAAAGCATCTTCCATGAAATTAAGAGCCCAAGACACACTTTAGAGAAAAATGGGGGTTCTAGTGGTCTGTTACATCTGGCTGCAAACTTTCTCCTTTCTCCATCATTCACACAATGCACTATAAAGCCTAAACTTTGGTTTATTCCACTAATCATATAACTCCTCTCCCCACCCCCACTTCATCTGTAGACATGCCTCAGAACACTCCAGAAACAGGGATCTGGCTCCATTTGTTCTCCTGATACCTTACAGTTTAAACTAGGGTTTTCACTTAAGGAAGAAAAAATGTTTTCCCTGACAATGCATGCTTAAAATGCTATTGATTGCCTTGGTGTCTTCATTAAAAGTCAAAAAGTAAATTAGTTCAACTTTTTAAAAAAGATTTATTTATTTATATATCTGAAAGGCAGAGTTAGAGAGAGAGATCATCCATTCGTTGGTTTACTCCCCAAATGGCCATAATGACCAGGGCTGGACCAGGCCAAAGCCAGGAGCTTCACCTGATCTCCCATGTGGGTGCAGGGGCCCAAGCACTTGGACCATCCTCTACTGCCTTCCCAGGCACACTAGCAGAGAGTAACTGAACCCACTACACCACAGCACCAGCCCTAGTTATTTCAACACTAAATGTAAATACACCATTTAAACTCAGTTGGATTCTGTAAACTTTGGTCTTTGTAAATATTTATGGCTTAAAGAAAATAAGACGTAATAACTCTATGAAAGTCTAGGACTTTTTTTATTATTGCTGACATACATCCACCACTGTAAAAAATAAATATTGTCTAGAGTTAACTATCAACTGCACTGGAACTATATCCTAGTTACATATATTTTACATCTCAGATATTACCTGTCCCTACCAGAATCCTGTAAAATTTAAGGTAACTTTAAAATCAAAATATGAATATTTCAAATTGTATTTAATATTAGTTATAAACTAATCCATAGTGAAAAGTAACAATTAGTGATGTAAAAGTAGGTTTTTTTTATTCTTTAAATTGAAAATAAGGGGCCGGTGCCATGGCTCACTTGGCTAATCCTCCGCCTGCGGCACTGGCATCCCATATCGGCACCTGGTTATAGTCCTGGTTGCTCCTCTTCCAGTCTAGCTCCCTACTGTGGCCCGGGAGGGCAGTGGAGGATGGTCCAGGTGCTTGGGCCCCTGCACCTGCATGGGAGACCAGGAGGAAGCACCTGGCTCCTGCCTTCGGATCAGCGCAGTGTGCCAGCTGTAGCAGCTATTTCGGGGGTGAACCAATAGAAGGAAGACCTTTCTCTCTGTCTCTCTCTCACTGTCTAACTCTGCCTGTTAAATTAAAAAAAAAAAAAAAAAAATTGAAAACAAGAAAATCTCAGCACACAAATATTTATTAATGTCAAAATTAAGAGGACTACTTTACCTCTGGTTTAATTTTTTTAAACAGTCCTTTATCAAAAATGAAAAAATTCTGAACCAATTAGAGACATCAATCTTTACTAACTGTGGCTTTACCTCTGCTTTTAAATAAGAGGTAATAAGTAGAAAATAAAAATAATTCTCAAGCCTTTGGCTCAAATTCATAACACTGTCAACAAAATCCAGAGCCTAAAATTTAGCAAGGGCTTTTATTATCAGATTCAATACAGATTACTTATCTGGGCCCCTATTGCTTTCTCTCCCATACAACTATCCTCACTGATACCTCACTGCAACCAAAACTGTTCTTATTTTTCTTGCAAGACCTTAACAAATTCTATTTCCCTTCCTTGAAACACTGTTCCTCTGGCTGTTTCATGGTTCCTTCTAGCTAATCACTCAGTTCATGTCTCAAATGTTACAACCTTAGGGAGGCCTCTCCTGACTAAATTTACTTCCAATCACTCTCTATCCCCCAACTCTGTCCCATTTTTGTTCACAGCATTTATCATTCAGATAGTACATTAGTTGTCTCTATCACAAAAATATAAGAGAATTCTATTTTACTCATATTGTTTATGCAGCGCAAAAAAGTGCCTATCACACAGCAAGCATTCAAAAATGTTAAATAAATGTACAATCTGTAGTGTAAAAAGTAGACAAAGCAGGCCGGCGCTGTGGCTCACTTAGCTAATCCTCCGCCTGCGGCGCCAGCACCCCAGATTCTGTCCCGGTTGTTCCTCTTCCAGTCCAGCTCTCTGCTGTGGCCCGGGAGGACAGTGGAGGACGGCCTAAGTGCTTGGGTCCCTGCACCTGCTTGGGAGACCGGGAGGAAGTACCCGGTCCCTGGCTTCGGATCAGCGCAGCGCTGGCTGTAGCGGCCATTAGAGGAATGAGCCAGTGGAAGGAAGACCTTTGTCTCTGTCTCTTTCTGTCTATAACTCTCTCTCTCTCACTGTCTAAAAAAAAAAAAAAGTAGACAAAGCAATTATTTGTTTTGTGTTTCAATGCTGTGAACCACAGATCACAGAGTGCACTAGAAGGGAAGTTAAGAGGTTCTAGACAAAAACAAAAAGATATGAAAAAAATTATGCCTACAGAATTGTCAGCATGCTATCAGAAGACAGGGAGCAGGAAGCTAAAGAAACTAGGTGGATTTTATAATCGAGGGCCAGCACTGTGGCACAGCAGGTTAAGCCAATGGCCTGAAGCTCTAGCATCCCATCAGTGCCAAATCAAGTCCCAGCTGCTCCACCTGTCATCCAGCTCACTGCTAATATGCCTGGGAAAGCAGTGGAAGATGGCCCAAGTCCTTGGGCCCCTACGAGGAAATCGGCTCTTTCAACTTGAAAGTTGAAAGTTATGGGTGTAACTACAACGTAAGAATAGCATAAACTTATTTAACATCTGAGTCCTAAGAAGGGAACTAAAACTTATGGAAACTACTATGAAATAAGCACTTTAGGAGTCGGAAATATCTACATTTGAAGAATAAGGGATAGGGACTGCTAGTTAAGAAAAATACTGAAAAGTTAAATGGTAAAGGTTTCACTTCAGTTGCCTCCATAAAGAATGATTTTTCACAATAGAAATGTCTGATTTAAAAAAGCAAGTGTACACTCTAGTACTCTAGTGAGGAACCAGAAAGAGAATACCAAACCTTATTAAGCAAATTAAATTCTATTGGCTCAGAGTACTTAAATTAGTACATGTTTCTTAGAAAAGAAAGTATTAGTCAATAAAAGCCAGGTAGCATTTACTAATCTTATCCTGAATTGACCTCATTTTCTCACTTCGTACAGTCATCAGTCTGCCAGAACACTAAGTGAGTATTTTTAGAGAACATACTAAAGATTAACTCACACCCTCTGATTTGGTAACTAAATTTCAGGGAACTCACAATAGTTAGGAAAAAAAAATTTTTTTAAACAGAGAAATAAAGAGCATATCTTTGCTATTTTAAAAAATCAGGATACTATATGGCTATTAAAACCTACAAAGATGTTGAGAGAAAGAAAAGTTTATATGACATAACAGAAAAAAAAATACCCAGAGAGGTTACAACTATATAAAACCATGCAAGTATCTGCTATTAGTAAGAGAAGAATTAAATAACTGAATAGTTAGGTATGGAAAAGGGGTCATTTAGTGCTAAAAGTTCAAGTTCACAACTGAAAGTGAAGCAATCAGTACGATACAACTATAGGATGATAGCAACCTGGATAAACTGTGGATAACTTGAAAAGTATCAAGGCATTCCAGTTGAATGCAGTGTAATTGTTGTGTACTGGATCTGAAGTAAGAGCTGATGTAACTAGGCTTTATTATTACAAGTGTAATGTTGGGAACAAAGGACACAGTCCCACAATGCTCTGATGCTCAGTATATATCTCAAGCACCATGATCAGTTTAAGTAGCACGTTAAAATCACTAGCTCCTTAGAAAACCCACAGAGAGAGACTAATACTGTATCAAAGGGAAAAAAAAAAACAAAGAAAGAACTGTGGATAGTCAATCTGAGAAAAAGATACAGAGAAAATGAGGTAGCTATTCTAAGTAACTGAAGAGCTGTCATATTTAGAAAAGGTATTAAAATTCTTTTGTGTTGATTCAAAGGGCAGAATTGTATCTTTAGGAAGTTATTAGAGGGAGACAGATTTTAGTAAGTCTTCTAACAGTATTAACTTTTTTTTTTTTTTTTTTGGACAGGCAGAGTGGACAGTGAAAGAGAGAGACAGAGAGAAAGGTCTTCCTTTGCCGTTGGTTCACCCTCCAATGGCCGCCGCGGCCGGCGCGCTACGGCCGGCACACCGCGCCGATCTGATGGCAGGAGCCAGGTGCTTCTCCTGGTCTCCCATGAGGTGCAGGGCCCAAGTACTTGGGCCATCCTCCACTGCACTCCCAGGCCACAGCAGAGAGCTGGCCTGGAAGAGGGGCAACCGGGACAGAATCTGGCGCCCCGACCGGGACTAGAACCCTGTGTGCCGGCGCCGCAAGGCGGAGGATTAGCCTAGTGAGCCGCGGCGCCAGCCTAACAGTATTAACTTTTAAAAAGAACAGAATAAATCTATTCTTACAGTAAAATTTCCTTCTCTATAAATATTCAGGTAGATATCAGATGATCAAAAATTCTTGCTGTAGGGGAGGGTTGCGGGTGGGAGGGACGTTATGGGGGGAAAGCCATTGTAATCCATACGCCGTACTTTGGAAATTTATATTCATTAAATAAAAGTTAAAAAAAAATTCTTGCTGTAGATGACAGGTTGATTTAATACTGTCCAAAATTCCTGCTAACTTCTGTGAACTTAGGAAATAAAATTAAAACAATAAGTTTACATAAAAGATTTAGGCTAAGCTATTAAAAATTGTAAAAGCATTACCTTGGCCCAGGTTTTGGAATTTTGCCAGCTTTCAGTTCATCAATAATTTCTTCAATATCCTTAGGTGTCAGATCCTCCTACAGAAAACACATTACAATAGTTATATTAAAATTACTTCCTACTGCTAAAATATGTGTAAATTCCTAATACTAGAGAGTTTACTCTCTGTCTCTCTCAGCTCAGACAGCTGGGTAATTCCTGTATACTTGTAGGACAGGCAACAATAGAGGTGATACAGAGTAATGCTTTAAAGTTAAACATGTATTTGAGTGCTGGCTCTATCACTTACTACCTTGTAATACTGGACTAGTTATCAGTCTTCTCAAGTTTGCTTATTTATTTTTAAACTTATTTCAGGATGTTTTTGAGAATTAAATAAGAAAAACAGTCAAGGCATGCACAATAAATGCTATAATTCTTGAAGAAACAGTGATGTACAAACAGTATTTAGCAACAGAAGTTGTTGTAACTTAAAAGTAGATTCCTGGGCACCAGGCCTGCAGCATAAGCAGGTAAAGCTGCCGCCTGCAGTGCTAGCATCCTATACGGGTGCCACTTTGAGTCCTGGCTGCTGCATTTCTGATCCAGCTCCCTGCTAATGAGCCTGGGAAAGCAGCAGAGGATGGCCCAAGCCTTTGTGGCCCTGTACCCATGTGGAAGACCCAGATGGCTCCAGGCTCCTGCCTGGCCCGGCCCTGGCCATTGTGGCTATTTGGGGAGTGAACCAGCTGATGGAAGACTTCTCTCTCTCTCTGCCTCTCTGTAATTCTGATTTTCAAATAAAATAAATAAATCTTAAAAAAAAAAAAAAAGTAGATCCCTAATATCTTCCTACTCTAAACATCTAACTGCTACAAACTGATAGAATCTCTATCTCTTGGATAAATCTGTCTGAGGCCACTATATTTTAGACTTAAGACATAACTAGAAGAGTAAGTAAGGGATAGGGACTACTAGTTAAGAAAAATACTGAAAAGTTAAATGGTAAAAGGTTTCACTTCAGTTGCCTGCATAAAGAATGATTTTTCACAATTCCTATTTAAATAGAGAAATAAATATCCTGAAGACAAAAACTCAATGAAACCCAGGGAGATAAGGAGAATACCAAGCAAATTTGGCTTCATAGTTATAAAGTTTTAAAGAGCAAGGTACAAAGACCCATTATTTCAAACCACATACAGATGCTAAAATGCTACACACGTCAATATAAGGGGAAAGTAGAACCTCAAAGAAAACTGCTAGTCTGGAAACCTTTATATCACAGGGTTAGCAAGGCCTGATATAGCAATGGGACCCTGGGGAGCAGCCAGTAGTACTTCTAGTACCAAAAGATAAACAAAGCAAATCTGTTCTTCAATGCAGGTCTCACAGAATTTCCATAAGCCAATTTGTAAGAAATGTGAGCCAAAAGAAAAGCACTGAAGGGGACCAGTATTGTGGCACAGTGGGTTAAGCTGTGACCTGTAACACCAACATCCCATATGGGTGTCGGTTCAAGTTGTGGCTCTTCCACTTCTGATCCAGCTCCCCTGCTAGCGTCCCTGGGAAAGCAGCAGAAGATGGCCCAAGTGCTTGGGTCCCTACCATCCACATGGGAGACCTGGATGAAGCTCCTGGCTTCAGCCTGGCCTAACTGGCTATTGGGCTACTGGGAATCTCTTTAACTCTGCCTTTCAAATACATCTTAAGGAAAAAAAAAAAAAAAAAAGATAACATGAAGAGAAACTAGAATTAGAATGGAAGCAACTGAAAAACATGTAACTACAAACATTTAGAAATTAAGAACACTTTTTAAAAACTTGCAAGATGGGCTGTGGTGTAGCGGGTAAAGCTGCCGTCTGCAGAACTGGCATCCCATATGAACACTGGTTCGATTCTCCGCTGCTCCATTTCTTACCCAGTTCCCTGCTAATATGCCTGGGAAAGCGGCAGAAGATGGCACAAGTACTTGGGCCCCTGCACCCACGTTGGAGACCCAGAAGAATCTCCTTGCTTTAGATTGGCCCAGCTCTGGCTGTTGAAGCCATTTGGGGAGTGAACTGGTGGATGCAAGATCCCCCTCTCTAACTCTGCCTTTCAAATAGATAAATAAATCTCTAAAACAAACTTACAGAAAAAGTCAAAAAGTAAAATTTGTCTAAACTTCTGAGATCCAGCTACAGCTGTACTTAGCAAGAGGTATGATGCCATCTCTACAACATTTCTTTTTAAGATTTATTTATTTGAAAGGCAGAGTTACACAGAGAAGAACAAAAGAAGAGATAGATTTTCCATCCACTGGCTCACTCCCCATATGGCTGTAACGGCCAGAGCTGAACCAGTCCAAAGCCAGGAGCCAGGACTTCTTCTGGGTGTTCCCTACCAGTAGAGAGACCCAAGCACTTGGGCCATCTTCTAATGCTTTCCCAGGCAAATTAGCAAGGAGCCGGATCAGAAATGGAGCAGCCAGGAATCAAACCAGCACCCGTGGGGATATTGGTGTTGCAGGCAGCAGCTTTACCCACTATGCCACAATGCCAGCCGCTCTATAAAAATTTTAAGATAAGAAAATAACCTATTAGTATGGCTGCATAAATATGTACACGGAGAATACATATTAAATTATGATAATGGTTGTCATCTGGGGATGAAAGGAAGAGAACAGGATTTGGAGGTTCTTCAACTCTCTCTGTAGCTTAGTTATGATGATTATACTTGAAGTAAATATGGCAAAATTTTTTCTAATGGTGGATCTTGTAAACTAGGAATATTTTCAGTATTTATATATAAATTATTAAATTTCTTACACTTTAAAAGTCTTTAAAGTTTGTCATTATCATCTGGAGTTAAGTGCAAACATGTTTAATGATATTCATTTTTACCAAGCCTTCTGGGTATTTATGCTAACAATTTCTTCTTAATGAATAATTCAGAAACCAAAATCTTTGGACATGAAATCAAATATTTTAAATGTGACATTATACAACTTTAATGTCCATTAAATGAATACTCACATAGTAGTTGTCATTAATTTGAACCATTGGTGCATTTACACAGGCCCCTAGACATTCCACCTCTATAAGAGTGAAAAGTTTGTCAGGTGTAGTTTCCCCAACCTTTATTCCTAAAAATAGAAATGATCACTGTAAGAACCATGTTATATTTTAACAGCAATCTGGTTTAAGGGAAAAAAAAAATCACCGTATTTTAGAGGTATCCAAAAAGAATACAAGAGCATCAAATTTTTTTAAATATTTTTTAAATTTGTTTTTTAAGGAATAAAATTTCTTAAGTACAATTTAAGAATATAGTTATTCCTCCCACCATACCCAGCCTCCCCCACCCACTCAAATTTCTTAAATAAAAATTAAACCCTTTATATAATCATACCAAATAGTCAAGGATTTCTTAAGTGGACTTGTTACTTTAGAAAGAATCAAATTTCAGGGAACTCATCTCTAGTTACATAACACTTCATCAGACTGTATTGCTTTCATTTTGATGGTAGTAATTAAAGTATTAAAATCAGTTACACTATCAGATTGCAAAGACTCAGAAAACTTCTAATGTCAAAGATTATTAAGGATGTGAGCAAAAGGGGTACTCATACAACTGGAAAAGACTTTGGGAAAAATATGATAAAATCTTATTCATCAACCCTACTGCTTGTAAACAACTTCATTGTACAAAAGGACATGTATACAAAGGTATGCACATGAAGGTAATTCCAGAGTAACTCAATTTATAATAGAAACATGAGGCAGACATACTTAGTGCTACAGAAAGATAGCCAAAATGAAATATAAAAAGCAGAGATATGTTACATTTATATATTTAAAAATTAAAAATAAAATCTGTAAGTAATACACCAAACTGCTCCCTGAATTTATACCTTCAAGGTAGGGAGAATGGATTCTAACCTGACTTGAGCTTTCTGTTTTGTATACTTCAGTCCTGTCCAACTATTTTTCAACATGGAAGTACTTTATATTCAATAACAAACTCAAAATATACCTATACCTTTACTTCATTAATAAATATAAACATAGCTATGGTACTTTTGTATGGAAAAATGACTGTTTTGCAAGTGTTACTATAATAACAAATTGTCCCCCCCAAAGAAGTCTTACTATGCTTATAACATTTGTTCCATGGTTTCTTTGGAAGAGTACTTGGACAATATAGTCATTTTTTAATATACCACATACAATAAGTGAAACAATTTTCTAAACAATAAAAAATGTAAAACTCCAAGAAGTTTTTCAAACATACTTAATGATTAAAAAAGAACATATGAAAACTCAGCTTTGAGGCAGAGAACTAATAAGCAAGAAATAAAGGCAGGCAAATATAGTAAGACAAACATGCAGTGGGTAAGTACAGCACCAGTAAGCTGCCACAGTTTGGGAAATATAGATAGAAACAGTGAAACTAGAAAGATAATTCTTTTTTTTCTTTTTCAGCAAAGCTGCAAATATAACAAAACCCATACCAAGCTTTTTCTGAATGGCCTCCAGTATGCTGTCGGAGTTTCGGAGCATGCAAGGAGTAGTAGTGCAGACCTGAATGTGATATTTTCCAACTGGCTTTCGATTATACATGGTATAAAAAGTCGCTACTTCATAAACTCTCATTGGAGGTACTTGTAAAACTTCTGCAACCTAAAATATTTGGAAATTTTAAAATGAGATAATTAAAATGTTTATTAACTGAGCTTTAGAGAAGTCACAGAAAGGTATAACTTCAGTGCTGCCTCAATCTGATAAAAGCAGAAAAGTTCTTCAAGAGCAGGAAGTATTTTCTAACTCATAACTGCAAGACATAAGCCCTTCAATTTTTGCACTTAAACCACACAGAACCCAGCAGCCTAATGCAGTTAGATTATCTTCCTCCTATCCCCTGCCAAAGGCTATTCTTTTTCTCTAAATCTTTGTCTTGTACTGTTAGTAATTTCCACTTTGATCACTTCAGGCACTTATATTTTGAAATTCAAAGTGTCTACATAGCAAAGAATTTGTGGCCAAACCCCAGTAAGAAAAAAATTAATTTTTTAAATCCTTTACCAACTTTCCAAAAAAGCCCTAATGTTGCTGGTGTAGTGAATGTAAATGATGCAAAGGATAAAAGCTGAGAGTCAAAGTTCAGTCCTGGCTATCTACATTTAGATATATAAGCAAATTTTATGTCTCTGTTTACACACATACATATATACACACACACCCTTCTCCAAAATAATCCAAAATACCTGTATTTCACATCACTCCACAAAAACTGGGTCTTCTAGACAAGTACTTCTCTGCCCTTCACTAAGGACAAAGGGAATGACTATCTTAGCATGCCTTTCCCAGTCAAAGCTTATTTGCTGTGTAAAATAAGGATATTTAACTGCCTGGTAGAACTGGTCCTTGTATAGTCTGTAATGACCATAATCTTGGCTGCAACTTTCTAAGTAGGTAATACCATTACTCTATTAGCTTTTAAGAACTGCTGAACCACCACTGTGATGCAGCAGAAAGCAACAGGTACGGCCCAAATAACTGGGACCCTGTGCCCAACATGGGAGGCCCAGATAAAGCTCCAGGCTCCTGACTTCTCCTAGCCCAGGCCTTGCCTTTGCAGCCACTTCAGGAGTGAACCAGTGGATGGAAGATTGATCTCTGTCTCCCTCTGTCTCCCTCTCTCTCTCATTCAAATAAGTAAATCTTAAAAAAAAAAAATTTTTTTTTGACAAGCAGACAGTGAGATAGACAGACAGGCAGAAAGGTCTTCCTTTTTCCGTTTGTTCACCCCCTAAATGGCTGCCATGGCCGGCGCGCTGCACCAATCTGAAGCCAGGAGCCAGGTGCTTCCTCCTGGTCTCCCATGCAGGTGCAGGGTCCAAGCACTTGGGCCATCCTCCACTGCCTTCCTGGGCCACAGCACAGAGCTAGACTGGAAGAGGAGCAACCAGGACAGAATCCGGCACCCCAACCTGGACTAGAACCCGGGGTGCCGGCACCGCAGGCGGAGGATTAGCCAAGTTAGCCGCGGTGCCAGCCAAAAAAAAAAAATTTCTTAAAAACTACACATATGTGTCCATATTCTGACATCAAAGAAGAGCTCATTAAATACCATTTCAGATGACAAATATGTTAAGCTTTCTCATCCCAGGAATTCTGAAGGAAATATATTCTCAAAAGACGGATAGTCACAGTTCATTTGTGAAAGATAAAGCAGTTGTGGTATTTCATTTGGTGGTCCTAAGCCAGGGTTGTACTTCTGAATCTAGAGAGCTATCAAAATATGTAAATCTGAAGTGAGGGTCTTGATTGTCTAATATCTCTCTACATGCACACCTCTAAATTCTGCCACACACAATCCCCATGCCTTAGTGATGGCTAAGGAATCAATGAGTGAGTTTCTAGATTTTGTTTTTGCTCTAAGGTTCAATGTTTTTGGGGATTTGGAGAGGGGAGAGAATACTAACATTGAAAGTCCCAAATGTAAAGTGGAAAGAATCTTGATTCTATTCTCTACACCCTATTTCGTGTTTCTCCTCCATAATTCCAACTCTAAACACAATAGGACAGTATCTTTTACATGTTCTCACATTAGTTTCTTATTTATGTTCCTTTGCTAAGCTTGCCCTCAGCAAGATTTCAACAGGCTAGCCATTATTAAAATGGGAATTTAAAAAAATTTAAAAAAAATTTCCAAAACTCTGATTAGCAACATATACCTAATCATTATTTAGCAAGTTAGCTATTTTAATTTAAGACACAATTTAAGAAACCCCCTTACAGGGGGTGGATGTTTGGCCTATAAATTGTCACTTAAGATGGCTACATGCCACCTTGGGGTGCCTGCGTTAGATTCCCAGCTCTGCACCTGATTCTAGCTTCTTGCTAATGCAGACCTGGGAGCCAGCAGGTGATGACTCAAGTAGTGGGATCCCTGCCACCCAGGTGAGAGATCTGGACTGAATTCCCAGCTCCTGGCTTCAGACTGGCCCACTTCTGGCCATTGCAAGTCTTTAAGAGGTGACCCAGTGGATGGAAGCTCTGTTTGTCTGCCTCTGTGCCTCTCAAATAAATTAAAAATAAATAAATAAAACCATGTAGATAACTCCTGAAGAAACAGGTGATTTACTGAAAAATAACCACCTATGTTTACTAAGGATAGTATCTCACTAAACCTGCTTTTAGTGAAAAAAGTACTCAATGCCTACAAAGTGTCTACAGTACACGGAAAACAAGAGATAATCAAATTTAAAATTTGCATTTGGAATTTTATTAGATAAATGGAGGACACTCCTATTCTTGAATAAAAATAATGGTCTGGCTGGCACTGCGGCTCAATAGGCTAATCCTCCACCTAGTGGTGCCAGCACACCGGGTTCTAGTCCCGGTCGGGGTGCTGGATTCTTTCCTGGTTGCCCCTCTTCCAGGCCAGCTCTCTGCTGTGGCCCGGGAAGGCAGTGGAGGATGACCCAAGTGCTTGGGCCCTGCACCCCATGGGAGACCAGGAGAAGCACCTGGCTCCTGCCTTTGGATCAGCGCGATGCGCCGGCTGCAGTGCGCCAGCCGTGGCGGCCATTGGAGGGTGAACCAACGACAAAGGAAGACCTTTCTCTCTGTCTCTCTCTCTCACTATCCACTCTGCCTGTCAAAAAAAAAAAAAAAAAAAGAAAAAAGAAAAGAAAAGAAAGATAATGGTCTGGCCTAACAGTTTTGGCCAAGTAGTTTAGAAAGTAACAAAAATGAAACGTAGCAGAATCTCTGATAGTTAAGTAGAAAAAGCACTGAATTGGAAATGAATTCAGTCTCAGCTATATAACTTAGAAATCATAATATAATAACTAGAAGAGAACTACCTAGCTCTAAACCTTCACTGCCAATGAGGAAGTAAAGCCTAAAGAAAAATCAGGTTTCTTAGTTGTAACCCAAACACACTTTCCATTATATAACATAGCTTGGTAGTTGTGATTCTTATAAGAATCAAATGTGGTTTCACTTGGTACTCTGTAAATGATTCACTATACAATACCACACAATGTAATTATGATATTGATAGGACATGAATAAACATGAAATTCTGATTACTGCTGAAAACTATTAGAAAAAAAAGCCTTAGAAAGTACATATGAATAGACTAACTCCACATACTATGAGTTACCCACAGCATCTCTGTAGGTTGTTGATTCCAAGGTGACATATCAAGTGGCATAAATACCACATAAGACTTTTTTAAAACATAGTCAAAGAGGGGCCAGCACTGTGGCGCAGTGGGTTAAAGCCCTGGCCCAATGCACCGGCATGCCATATGGGCACCAGTTCTAGTCCTGGCTGCTCCACTTCCGATCCAGCTCTCTGCTGTGGCCTGGGAAAGCAGTGGAAGATGGCCCAAGTCCTTGGGCCCCTGCACCCATGTGAGAGACCCCGAGGGAGCTCCTGGCTTCGGATTGGCACAGCTCTAGCCGTTGCAGCCATTTGGGGAGTAGACCAACGGATGGAAGACCTCTCTCTCTGTCTCAACCTCTCTCTGTAACTCTTTCAAATAAATAAAATAAATCTTAAAAAAAAAACATTGTCAAAGAAACAAAATATTAAAAAGATTATCACTAGCTGTGAGGTGGTTTCCAGTAATTCTAGTGTCTAAATATTACATTAATTTTGAGAATATCTCAACATTAAATTATACACATTTGGGATCTTTTTATTATGATCATTTTCCTCAAAAAGAAAAGACAAAACAAAACAAAATTTTCTTCCACTATTCCTAATCTTCTTCAATAAAAAGCTCTACTTGTCTGCATTAAGGAAACCAACAAAATACAAAAATAAAATTCAGGGAAACATACAATCCTAGATTCTGATGTTAATTATTATTAAAGTAACTTTTACATAAGAAAGTCATCATACACAATCTCTCCTCTTTTTGAAAAATGAATTCAGTACCTTGTTCATAGCAGAGATAGGCAACCACCCATTCTGCCTCTGGGCTAAATCCAGGACTGGAAGCACAGCTGCTGCTTTATGCCCTTCTGGATAATTTTTTACAATTGCCTCTATCCTCTGTATGAAAGAAAAAACATCTACTTATGTATCTGGAAAATAATAAATATTCTGCAATTGTTAATGTTCTCATACCTTATAGTTTTCTGGTGTGAAATCAAATGGAGTATCTGGGTTATTCTCAGGAGTGTCTCTGTGCTAAACAAAGAAAAAAAATTATCTCAAAAGTGTGTATTAACACTACACATAACTATAATATATATTAACAACAGTTTAACCTTTCCACTGTTATTCCAACATGCTATCAATCATTCTATCATTTCATCAGAAAGAATGACTAAACACACGTTTGATGAGTATGACGACCAAAAAATACTTAGAATTCAAAATTTTAGAAATAAGCACCCTTTAAGAATTAGAAAGAGCTTTAGGATCTTCTAATTACCAAAACACTGCCAATTATTGGAAGCCTTTTTAAGACACAAAACTTTAAGTGTGAACATATGTATATTTTTGCAAACGAGAGAATATCAGACTGTCAAAGGGATCTGGGATCCAAAAACGATAAGATTCACAACTCTGGGGACATGTGAAAACACCATCTATTCCCCACAAGTTTTCCATAAACAGAAACTGGGCAATAGCAAGAAGCTTTATTCTTAAAAGAGCAGAGCAGGCCCTCTTTAAAAACTAACAAGAAATGACACATCAACAGGAAATCAAATGAGTCACACTGAGATTAACACATCAATTAATGTTCTGATTATGTGATTACAGAACTGAATCTCTTAATGTTAACTCTTAAAGTTCTGCTTTTTATAGGACGTAACTGAAAAGAAATTTGGACAGTGATCTCAAATACTCCTATATAGTTAATTTGAAATGCTTTTAGACAAAGATTTCCGACAAAGCATCAAGCGGGAAACTACATATTATATGCCTAACTCTAAATCATCATACAAATTCACCACATTGCCTTCAAACAATTCTAGATTAATCCTTGAAAACTGCACCTTATCCAAAAAAGGGCCAACACTGTGGCACAGCAGGTTAAACCACTGCTTGTGACGGAAGATGCAGGCATCCCACACTGGAGTGCCAGTTCCAGTACTGCCTGCTCCACTTCTAATCCAGTTTTCTGTTAATCTGCCTAGGAAAACAACAGAAGAGGGCTCAAATACTTGGGCCTCTGCCACCCACGTGGGAAACCGGATAGAGTTCCTGACTCCCGGCTTTGGCCTGGCCCAGCCCAAACTCTTATAGCCATTTGGGGAGTGAACCAGTGGATGGAAGATCCTTCTCTGTCTCTTCCACTCTCTATATCACCATGCCTTTCAAAACAAATTAATTTTTTAAAGAGGGACTCACTGTTTCCTCCCTTATGAATTGTGTAAATAAGCTGAGGAATTCAAAGACTTCTAACCTGTAGTTAAGCCCTGGAAATCAAAATATAAAGGCCAACTGCTAATGAATTTACTATATTACTAAAATCCATGAGCTTCAAACATTTTGGAATTCCCCATATTGTAGAACCTTGAGTCGATGTTACTGATTTTTTAAAAACTTAAATGTACATTTTAAGAAAAAAAAAAGACCTAAATAACATAATAAAAAGAAAAATACCCAAAGTGTGATGAGAATCTAGTCAGGGCTCATAATAATTTTGCCAAAGAACAATATAAATTCTTATTCCCAGTTTCCCTGGTGGCAATTTAAACTAGGAGGTTCAGTTGAGACCACACATCTTTCAAAATGTAGTGAATTCAATTAGCTACATTTGAAGCCCCACAATGGCCAGCATATTCCAGACTCTAGCAGTTATGACACTTTAGGTTATTACAAAGGATTTACCCAAGTCTTTTTATTCTGAAGGAATCTAAGCAACTACTTACCACAAATAGGGCTCCTCCAGCTCCATTTTGCACAGCTGTCTTATGCAAATTCCTTAGGTGTTTTCCCTAAAATTTTAAAGTTTAATAAAGTTTGGTAAATCAAAAGCCTTAAGAAATTTTTCATAGGGGAATCCTTTCAGATTCATAATGTAAAACAATAGAATCAACTTACAGAAGTAAAAGATCTTAAGAAATATGGCACACTACCCTATGACCCGCCCACACCTAATTCAGGAGAAGCAAAAGAAAATGGAGATCCCAAGGCAAGGTTTTACTAACTTGTCTAAGATCACACACAAAACTCAATGGAAGAACCATGATAACTACTCAGGACCTGCTGAATGATCTGAGTTGTATATCCCTTCTACTAACTGCTGGCATGCATCTGGAGAATGTATCATTAACTTACTGCCTTTCACTTTTGAATCAGGGTGGCTGCCAGCTTTCATTTAATACAGATCTTTGTAAACATGTTTTCATTCTGTATAAGTGAGTCAACGGTATCTTCCTTTTCAATCCTTTACTAAATTAATTCAGAAACTTCAGCTATAAATGAAGTTTCAGAAAGCTATTTATGATGCTTACACATAAATGTCAACTGCTTTGGAAGGAATCTGTTGCATTTCATTTCCCTTTGCCCTCTACCTTTTCCCCTCCACTCTACCATCCCCTAAGCAACTCAACTATTGTTCTGAAAACCTCAAATTTTAGTTCTACTAACCAGAAACAGAACATTGGACTGAACCAAATGTGGAAATGAGAAAGAGTTGGACAATTCAAAGATAAAATAAAAGCAGTAATATAACAAGTAACCTAGTCATATATTTAGCTTTTCCCTATGTCCAAATAATATCTCAGTTGAATTAATACATTTACATGGAATATTTGCTTTATTAATAAAAGACCCAGGTCTAGGGCATAGCACTGTGGTGCAGCAGGTTAAAGCCCTGGCCTGAAGTGCCAGCATCCCATATGGGTGCCAGTTCTAGTCCCAGCTGTTCCACTTCTGATCCGGCTCCCTGCTACGGCCTGGGAAAGCAGTGGAAGATGGCCCAAGTCCTTGGACCCCTGCACCCACATGGGAGGCCCGGAGGAAGCTCCTGGCTCCCGGCTTTGGATCGGTGCAGCTCCGGCCGTTGCGGCCAATTGGGGAGTGAACCATCGGATGGAAGACCTCTCTCTCTCTGCCTCTCCTCTCTCTGTGTAACTTTCAAATAAATAAACAAATATTTTTTAAAAATTAGAAAGGCAGAGATAACTTTGAGAACTGTTCTCTAGGCCTATGCAACTACATATTGGAAAACCTATTATTTTTAAAAATTTATTTATTTATTTATTTATTTGAAAGGCAGAGTTACAGAAAGAGGGGGAGAGACAGAGAGGGATCTTCCATCCACTGGTTCACTCCCCAGATGGCCGCAACAGCTGGGGCTGGGCTGGGTAGAAGCCAGGAACCTAGAATTCTATTCAGGTCTCCCTTGTAGATGGCAGGGACATAAGCAATCAAGCCATCTCCCAATGTTTTCCCAGGCAAGAAGTTGAATTGGTAGTGGAGTAACAGGGATCTGAACTGGTACCCATATGGTATGCTGGTGTTGCAGGTGGCAGCTTAAACCCACTGCACCACAACGCCAGCCCCAGAAAATTTACTTTAAATACAAGCACTCTCTTGCTATAGCAAGATATGCAAATGCCTTTATACACACATTTCTATCCAAAGGAAATGTTGTAAAGTCTAAATCATCAAAGACACTATTGATTAAGATTCAGGAAAAAGCAACTAAATTTTAGAAAAAGTCCAGGACTTCTAGATATTTTAAGATCTGCTGTTTGCTAACATATGACCTTATGCAAGTTAATCTTTTTAAGCCTTAATTTTAAGCCCTGTCCCTCAACAGGGACAGAGGCTAGTCCAGTAGCATAGTGAGTAAAGCCACCACCTGCAACACCGGCATCCCATGTGGCGCCCATTCTGATCTAGCTCTCTGCTATGGACTTGAGAAAAGCAACAGGAGATGGCCGAAGTGTTTGCATCTTTGGGATCCATGTGTGAGATCCAAATGAAGCTCCTGGCTTGAGCCTGGCCCAGCTCAAGCCATTGTGGCTATCTAGTGAGCGAACTGCTGGATGAAAAATCTGTCTCTACCTCTCCTAAAACAAATACATTTTAAAAAAGAAGAAAAAAACAGGGATATCTTTTTACCGGATTGTTCTGAGATTTAATCTCTGAAAGTACTATATAACTTGTTAAAGCATTATTACCTGCTTTGCTGACACATGGAAAAATCATTTGATAATTGGGAAATGAAGCGTCAAACAACTGCATTTTAGAATAATTCTTCCGCACTCTGTTGGCTGACTTCAACAAAGAATCATTCTCAGAACAGATTACTGAAGGTTTATTGTATTTGCATGTAATTAATTTTTACCTATATCCACATAAAGCAGTAAATTTTTCCAATGAAATTATGTTGAAAAACACCATCTACTTACTTCCCCTCCACTGACATTAACATGTGAGTATCTTTTTTTTACTTACAGAAAGAGAAGAGGCAGTGCTGGTAGAAAACGTTCCATGGGTCTCAGTTTTTACACACCATGTGAACAGAGGCACAGACAGCTTTTCTTCCAGACCATCTTTTCAAGAATCTCGGTAGAGAGTATCTCCCTACCACCACACTGGGGCAAAGGTTGAGTGTGCTTCTTGCACCTGGGTTTCCCCAAAACTCATGGTTCCTCAGCTATATACAAATTCACCTGGGCTGCCCCATGTCACTCCTGTGGAATTTAAATGTTAATGGTAACCAACATGAACAGGAGCTCATGTTGCCTACTGTGCCATGAGTTAATTATTCAGTCCTTTATCTCTAACTCAGGAGTGTTCTGCCAGGATCCATGAAACTGCAGCAAATTAACTTGCAAATAAGATAAAATCTCAGCCCTTCACAGTTCTTAACAAGTCAGTAAAATCTAGTAATATGCCAGTTTCCATATTTTATTGCTTTTTCTATCAAAATATGTCTATGGATATACAGAGATATAAAAAGAACCAGTAACACTGGCTGTCTCTAGAAAGGATAATCAAAGATCCAGAGAAGGAAACTCATATATGTAAAATATACTATATACAACAGATATTTTTACTGTAATATATATATATATATATGTATCTGCATGCCTCCTCTGTACTATAACAGATCATACTTTATATTTAATGCAATATACACAGTAATACATATGGGTACTTCAAAAAGCCTATGGAAAATGGAATTAAAACTAAGTTTAGAAATGGGCATTTAGCCTAGTGGTTAGGATACCTGTGTCCTACATCAAAGAGTACATGGAGAGGCTGGCACTATAGCACAGCAAGTTACCGCCCTGGCCTGAAGTGCCAGCATCCCATATGGGCACCAGTTCGAGACCTGGCTGCTCTACTTCCAATTCAGCTCTCTGCTATGGCCTGGGAAATCAGCAGAAGATGGCCCAAGGCCCTGGGCCCCTGCACCCACATGGGAGACCTAAAAGAAGCTCTTGGCTCCTGGCTTCTGGATTTGGATCAGCGCAGCTTCAGCTGTCATGGCCAACTGGGGAGTCAACCATTGGATGGAAGACCTCTCTTCTCTGCCTCTCCTCTCACTGTATGTTTTTTTTAAAAGATTTATTTTTTTTTAAAGATTTATTTATTTATTTGAAAGTCAGAGTACACAGAGAGAGGAGAGGTAGAGAGAAAGAGGGAGAGAGGGAGAGAGAGGTCTTCCATCCAATGGTTCACTCCCCAATTGGCTGTAACGGCCGGAGCTGCGCCTATCTGAAGCCAGGAGCCAGGAGCTTCTTCTGGGTCCCCCTGAGGGTGCAGGGGGGCCATCTTCTACTGCTTTCCCAGGCCATAGCAGAGAGCTGGATCAGAAGTGGAGCAGTCAGGTCTTGAACCAGCGCCCATATGGGATGCTGGTGCTTCAGGCCAGGGCGTTAACCTACTGCACCACAGTGCTGGTCCCTCATCACATCTTAATGTCACCGACCTAATTTTAAAAATAACACCCTTACGATGGTGGCAGTGGTGAAAAATGACCAACACAAAACATGTTCTATTATAAGATGGGTCAGTTTCATTGTTTTTAAAAAACACATTTTGCACATCCTAACATCTCTAAAATTGAGATGTATCACTGGTGTCTAATAGTCCATAAATAGCTTTATGTTTTATGTATGGAGAAACGATATAGCTAAAGTGATTAAAAGTCCAGCTCCAGAATCCTAATTTGTAAAATCAGAACCATAGGGGCTGGCACTGTGGCACAGCAGGTAAAGCCACCACCTCAGTGCCGGCATCCCATATGGGCACCGGTTCGAGTCCCACCTGCTCCACTTCCAATCCAGCTCTCTAGTATGGCCTGGGAAATCCACTCATGTGGGATACCCAGAAGAAGCTCCTGGCTCCTGACTTTGGATGGGCTCAGCTCCAGTAGTTGCAGCCATTTGGGGAGTGAACCAGTGGATGTAGACTTCTCTCTCTCTACCTCTGCCTCTCTGTAACTCGGCTTTTCAAATAAATAAATCTTAAAAAAAAAAAAATCAGAACCATAACAGTATACATTTCATAGGGACGTTGAGAGGATTAAGATTTCAGAGGCAGGTGCTGTGACGCAGCAGGTTAAGTCACAAGTTGGGAAGCTCACATTCCATACCCCAAGTGCCCAGTTTCAAGATCCACCTCCACCTGATTTAGCTTCCTGCTAATAAGCATGCTGGGAGGCAGCAGGTGAAGTACTTGGGTCCCTACCATCCATGTGGGGGACCTGGCTACGCTTGACTCATTCAAAGAGTAAGCTAAGTTCCCTCCCTACTCCCTTAAACTAGAGGCTACTCTTTTCTCCAGAGTTTCTCATTCTGAAATGTCTATATCCCCAATAACTTCCAACTGAATTCAATGAACAACTGAAAATCCAAATATCTTCTAATACTCATAAACAAGAAAATAACCTGATATACAGCACACTATTAATACTATTGAATTCTAGCTTATTCTTTTTTCAGAGCAGAAAGAAGAAATTAACAACAGGCAA